ATAATAAAAACAAACAAATAAATAATAAATAAAAATTAAAACAATGCCAGGAATGCCCAGTCGCTGCAACACCTCAATCAACACCTCCCTGGGCGTCAACAAGTCGGTGTCATTCCTTCTTTAAACTCAACTACTGAAAAAGGTGTCTGGTCCTGTGCGGTGCGGGGTTCCACACCAAGCACCCCACTCTCCTGCTGGGGTCTTTGGAAGCTGAAAGGTCCCTCCTTCCCCGCGACTTGTCAGGGTCCGTTCCCCTCAGGAGCAGCCTTTGGGCTAGCCTCAGCTCCGGCCCGCAGGTCTACTCACCGTTCGGGTGCTCCTTGCTGTCCCGCGCGGCGGAACCCCGCGTCCCCGCTGCCCGGTCCTCGGCCACAGTCCGGTGTAGTGCCCCGGTCTGCGATCGTTCGGCGACTCTGCCCTTCGCCATGGCTGCTGCAAAGACCTGTGGAGAAAGAGGCCGGCGGTACCGCGCCGCTGAACCGCAGAATTCCTCAGGAAGCTCGCTTCCCAGACCTAGGCGCCGCTGCCACAACCGCTTCCGGCGCGACCTCCTCACACTGGATGACCTCCGCCGGGCGACGCCAGCACCACCCTCCTGGATTAGGCCCCGCCCTACCCCGAATTTCGCCCGGTCCCCGAGCCTAGCGCGCTCGCGCCGGCCCAGTCACCTCGAGACAAGTCAGGAGCCGTCCCCGCCCCCTTATGAGCCCCGCCCTCTTCTCCCGGGCGCAATGCTTGCGCAGTCGTCACGCAAAAATGACACCTACATGTAGCTTTGATCTGCGGAAGTGCGGTATGGTGGACTTCAGATTCTTTGTTCCAGCTGACCGGAAGTGCCTGCCCTTGATTAGTCATGGATGCCCGGCGGCTGATTCCATCAGTTCCACGTCAAACCAAGGGCAAGCACTGTGGAATCTGAAGGGCAGCAGTCAACGTAGCCTATCAGTAGTCGGTTCACCTCAGCTTATTTTATTAACCCAAATACACGTTTCGACACTTTCTACTCACGCTCCTCAGAACAGCTATTCAACTTCTCACGGGTAAATATACTGAAATTCTCTCCTTTAAAATTTTAGGGTTTTTGTTTTTCATGCTCCAAATCTAATCCAAGATCTTGTGCATGCAAAGCACGTTCTACCGAGCAATTCCCCTATTCCATTAAAAATGTTAAAGCAAACATTGAAAAAGTCATAATAATAATGGGGAATTTATTCTTGAAAGCAACTTGGCAATATATATTAAAAATATTTAGATTCGCTATATCCACTAATTTCTTTCTTTTTTTTTTTTTTTTCCTGACACAGGGTCTCACTATGTAGCTCTAGCTGGCCTGGAACTTACTGACCAGACTGGCCTCTGGCTTAAAGAGATCCACCAGCCTCTGCCTCCCGAGTGCTCAAATCAAAGGTGGGTGCCACCATGCCTGATAAATCTTCACTATTGGTTTGGCTTTTATCCTGGGATCTTCAGTTCACATAATAGAAAGGTGGAAGCAATGTGTAAACCCATGCCTGAAGAAAAAGATGGCCAAGTCAATTCTGAGATGTCCAGTCAATGAATATTTTGTTTTCAGTATCGGGAATTGAACCCAGGGCCTTCTTTGTGATAACCACGTACTCTGCCCGGGAGCTATATCCCAGCCCCAAACAGGATTGTTTTATATCCATACCATTGAATGACTTTTAAGGCCTTCCTTTTTATTTCCTTTGATGTCTTCATTAAAAGCACTAAAGCCAGGTGTGGTGACTTGACTGTAATCCCAACATTTGGGAGGTGGAGGCAGAAGGATCAGGAATTCAAGGTCATCCTCCTCTACAAAGTGAGTTGGAGGCTAGCCTGAACTACAGAAGACTATCTGAAAATTAAATTTTAAAATAGCCAAGCATAGGGGCCCATACTTGTCATCACAGCACTCAGGAATTAGAGGCCATCCTCATCTACATAGTGAGTTTGAGGCCAGGATAGACTACATGAGGCCCAGTCTCAAAAAAATATGAAGAACAGTCTGAGGAAAAACTAATAATGTTACTGGAGCCTTCAGCCATAGGCCTGGCTCTGAATCCAAACACTTGCCTTAAGAGAAAAAAAAGCCAGTGAGATGGTACAGTGGTGAAAGGTACCTACTGCCAAGTCTGACAACCTGAGATGGATCCCCGGGACCAGCGTGGTAGGAGAAAACCTGCAAGTTGTCCTCCGACCTCCACATATGTGCCATGGCACATGTGCAGACATTCAAGCACACAAAATAAACTACAATATGATTTAGGAAAAAAGAACCTGAGCCCTTCATAGAGACATATGCCTTTGATCTCAGCATTAGGGAGCTGAGGCAGGAGAATCATTATGAGTTCAGTACCAGCCTAGACCTTGCCTCAAAAGAGATGGGGTCTAGAAATGGCTCAGCAGTTGAAGGTGTATAATGCTCTTGATCCTCTCCCATGTCAGTCTCAGGGACTGAATTCGGATCCTGCATTTCCCCAGCAAGTGCCTTTATTCAATGAGTCGTTGAACCATTTATTCAATGAGTCGTTAAACTAGCCTTTTTAGTTCATTTTATGTTGCCTAAACAATAGCACAGGCTGGGTGCCTTAAAAAAAATTAAAAAAAAAAAAAAAAAAGAAGCTGGGCCTGGTGGCATACACCTTTAATCCCACCACTCAAGGAGGCAGATGCAGGCAGCTTTCTTGAGAGATTGAGGTCAACCAGGTCTGCATAGTAACGTCAGTCCAGATGGGGCTGCTGGGAGACCTTGTCTCAAAAAGAAAAAGAAAAAAACCCCCCAAAACAGAAATTGACTTGGCTGATGGTTCTGTGGATTGAGAGATCCAGTGTCAAGGAACAAGCATCTGGTGAGGGCCTCTGTGCTGCATTGCATGACAGAAGGTGGAAAGGCAATGGCAGAAGACTACAAGCCTGGCAAAGTGATGCGTGCCTCTAATCCCAGCATTTAGGAGGCAGAATCAGGAGGACCATGAGTAAGAGGCCAGCCTGGGCTTCATAGTGAATTCCAAGCCAGCAGGAGTTACATAGGGACACTTTGTCTCAGAAAAAAGTAAAACCTGGGCTAGTGAGATGTCTCAGTGGTAAGTGCGCCAAACCTGATGGCCTGGGTTTGGTCCACAGTACCCAAATGATGAAGGAGAGAATTCATTCCCACAAGTTGTCTTCTGACCACCACAGATTCACTGTGGTGCTTATGTTTACACACAAATTTTAAAAAAAAAAAAAATGGAAATAGAGGGGCTGGAGAGATGACTCAGTGTTTAAGAGCACTGGCTGTTTTTGCAGAGGACCCATGTTTGATTCCATTCCCAGAACCCACATGGCTGCTGACAGCTGTCCATAACTCCACTTCTAGGGAACCCAGCGACCTCTTCTGGCCCCCATGGATATTGCTCGACACAGGTGCACTTACATACTTGCAGGCAAACACTGATACACATAAAATTTAAAAATTTTTTTTTAAATTTAAAATAGAAAAGGAGAGGCTGGAAAGATGGCTCAGAGGTTAAAGTGCTTACTATGCAAGTATGAGGCCCAGAGTTTGGATTCTCAAAACCCACATAAATGGTAGGTGGGGGGGCTGAAGAGATGGCTCAGCAGTTAACAACACTGGTTGTTCTTGCAGACGACCCAGGTTCAAAGCCCACACCCACATGGCTGCTAACAACTGTCCATAACTTCAGTTCCAGGGGATCCGACAGCCTCTTCTGTCTTCCGTGAGCATTGCACAACACCGGTGCACTTACATACATGCAGGCAATACACTCATACACATAAAATTAGAAATATTTTTTTAAATGGCAGGTGGGCTTGGAGGACCACCTGCAGTTCTAGCCTCTCAAGGCAGAGACTGGATCTCCAGAGAAAGCTGGCTAAGAAGACTAGACAATTCTGGGTTTGATTGAGAGACCCTGATTCAATGAATAAGGTGGAAGAGAGATTGAGGATGATTCCTGGCATCAACCACAGGCCCCCACATACACCACACACAGGTACACTCACACCTTTGTGTATGCTCCCACACATGCAAAGGTACCCACACACATGTGCACTACACCAAGAAAAAAAAAAAAGACTGGAGAAGTGGCTCATCAGTTAAAAGCACTTCTTGCTCTTGCAGAGGACCCAGGTTCAGTTGTTTATAACTTCAGTTCCAAGGGATCTGATGGTCTTTTCTGGCCTTTGCAGGCACCAGGCATGTACACAGTACACATACATGCAGACATACATTCAAATAAAATATAAATAAATTTAAAAACAAAGCATAAACTAGGTCATAGAGAAGCTTTCAGGTTATTTAAAGACTAAGGTGCAGTGAAGGAAACTAAAGAAGAAAAAAATGGAGCCAGACATGGTAGTACACACCCTTAATCCCAGCACTCAGAAGGCAGAGGCAGGCAGATCTCTGTGAGATTCAGCCAGCCTGGTCCACATATCAAGTTCCAGGCCAGCTGCACCTTCAGGAAAACCCTGTCTCAAAAAGGAAAAAAAAAAGGAAGGAAGGAAGAAAGAAAGAAAGAAAGAAAGAAAGAAAGAAAGAAAGAAAGAAAGAAAGAAAGAAAGAAAGAAAGAAAGAAAGAGATGGCCCAGGGATGGTGAGATGGCTCAGCTGCTAAAGGGCACTTGCTGCCAAGCCTGACAACCTGAGTTCCATCCTTGTTCCACCCACAATGTAGAAGGAGAGAAATAACTCTTACAAGTTGTCCTCTGACCTCCAAACATACAGTGGTATGCATGCACCTACACACATATGCATATATAAAATAAATATATGTAAAAAAAATAAAAAGAGCCAGCCATGGTGGCACACACATTTAATCCCATCACGTGGGAGGCAGGCATAGACAGGATCTGTGAGATGGAAGCCAGCCTGCTCTACATAGCTTATTCCAGGCCAACCTGTCTCAACAAAATAAAGAGAGGGCTGGGAATACAGTAGAGCGCTGGACATTTTCAACCATACAGTACTGCAACATCAAAAACAAAAAAAGAAGGAAAGTTGGTTGTTTAGCTCAGTGATAGAGCACTTGCCTAGTAAGCACAAGGCCCTGGATTCCATCCCCAGCACTGAGGGGGCAAAACTAGAAGACAATAAGCCCAAATATTAAAAAATGCAATTAAGCCAGACGTGGTAGCACAGGCCTTTAAAGCCGGCACTGGGAGTCAGAGACAGGTGGATCTCTGGGTTCAAGACCAGCCTGCTCTACAGTGAAACCTTGTCTCTAAAATAATAATAATAATAATAATAATAATAATAATAATAATAACAACAACA